TCCACCAGTGGGGTATTTACAGATGTATTTTATATCTATATCTTTATATATCTTTATATATATAAAAATGTAAAACAAACATGACCAAAACAAAACACAGTATAGCCGAAGCAAAATTGAATGGCGAACTCGTCTGACTATCTATTGTTTTGTTTGTTTAGATACTTGAGACCTGACGACTTGGGTCCTAAAGAACTTCCTGCCGTGAAGGAGGAGGATGAAGACGATGATGAAGATGAAGAGGAAGAGATGGAAACCGTTGTTATCAAGGGTCCAGAGGAGAAGTGGGACTGTGAAACCATCATCAGTGAGTTCAGTCTGCAGTTTCCTGTCAAAAACTCAGACGTGTTTAAAATCTGTTCTGTTATATATGTTGTTTGTTTTTTCCAGTGTTTTCCCTAATCTCCTGCAATTACAGCAGAACAACGAAACCAAAACTGAACTTTAATAATCTTCTAACTCATAAAGAAAGCAAAATGTCAAAAGTATTCCAGCTTTAATCTGAAGACAAACATCCATCAATGATTAATCTGATTACATTACAAATGTTTAGAATAGAGAGCAAGATTTCTTTTTACAGAGGCCCTATTCTATACATATATATACACCTGAACATCAGCAGGAGAGGACTCTTTAAAGTAGAGACACTACGTACTGATATACACCTGAACATCAGCAGGAGAGGACTCTTTAAAGTAGAGACACTACATACTGATATACACCTGAACTATCAGCAGGAGAGGACTCTTTAAAGTAGAGACACTACATACTGATATACACCTGAACATCAGCAGGAGAGGAACTCTTTAAAGTAGAGACACTACATACTGATATACACCTGAACATCAGCAGGAGAGGACTCTTTAAAGTAGAGACACTACATACTGATATACACCTGAACATCAGCAGGAGAGGAACTCTTTAAAGTAGAGACACTACATACTGATATACACCTGAACATCAGCAGGAGAGGAACTCTTTAAAGTAGAGACACTACATACTGATATACACCTGAACATCAGCAGGAGAGGACTCTTTAAAGTAGAGACACTACATAATGATATACACCTGAACATCAGCAGGAGAGGACTCTTTAAAGTAGAGACACTACATACTGATATACACCTGAACATCAGCAGGAGAGGACTCTTTAAAGTAGAGACACTACATACTGATATACACCTGAACATCAGCAGGAGAGGACTCTTTAAAGTAGAGACAACTACATACTGATATACACCTGAACATCAGCAGGAGAGGACTCTTTAAAGTAGAGACACTACATACTGATATACACCTGAACATCGAGCAGGAGAGGACTCTTTAAAGTAGAGACACTACATACTGATATACACCTGAACATCAGCAGGAGAGGACTCTTTAAAGTAGAGACACTACATACTGATATACACCTGAACATCAGCAGGAGAGGACTCTTTAAAGTAGACGACCTACATACTGATATACACCTGAACCATCGCAGGAGAGAACTCTTTAAAAGTAGAGACACTACATACTGATATACACCTGAACATCAGCAGGAGAGGACTCTTTAAAGTAGAGACACTACATACTGATATACACCTGACATCAGCAGGAGAGGACTCTTTAAAGTAGAGACACTACATACTGATATACACCTGAACATCAGCAGGAGAGGACTCTTTAAAGTAGAGACACTACATACTGATATACACCTGAACATCAGCAGGAGAGGACTCTTTAAAGTAGAGACACTACATACTGATATACACCTGAACATCGAGCAGGAGAGGACTCTTTAAAGTAGAGACACTACATACTGATATACACCTGAACATCAGCAGGAGAGGACTCTTTAAAGTACAGACACTACATACTGATATACACCTGAACATCATCAGGAGAGGACTCTTTAAAGTAGAGACACTACATACTGATATACACCTGAACATCAGCAGGAGAGGACTCTTTAAAGTAGAGACACTACATACTGATATACACCTGAACATCAGCAGGAGAGGACTCTTTAAAGTAGAGACACTACGTACTGATATACATCTGAACATCAGCAGGAGAGGACTCTTTAAAGTAGAGACACTACATACTGATATACACCTGAACATCAGCAGGAGAGGACTATTTAAAGTAGAGACACTACATACTGATATACACCTGAACATCAGCAGGAGAGGACTCTTTAAAGTAGAGACACTACATACTGATATACACCTGAACATCAGCAGGCGAGGACTATTTAAAGTAGAGACACTACATGCTGATATACACCTGAACATCAGCAGGAGAGGACTCTTTAAAGTAGAGACACTACGTACTGATATACATCTGAACATCAGCAGTAGAGGACTCTTTAAAGTAGAGACACTACATACTGATATACACCTGAACATCAGCAGGAGAGGACTCTTTAAAGTAGAGACACTACATACTGATATACACCTGAACATCAGCAGGAGAGGACTCTTTAAAGTAGAGACACTACATACTGATATACACCTGAACATCAGCAGGAGAGGACTCTTTAAAGTAGAGACACTACATACTGATATACACCTGAACATCAGCAGGAGAGGACTCTTTAAAGTAGAGACACTACATACTGATATACACCTGAACATCAGCAGGAGAGGACTCTTTAAAGTAGAGACACTACATGCTGATATACACCTGAACATCAGCAGGAGAGGACTCTTTAAAGTAGAGACACTACATACTGATATACACCTGAACATCAGCAGGAGAGGACTCTTTAAAGTACAGACACTACATACTGATATACACCTGGACATCAGCAGGAGAGGACTCTTTAAAGTAGAGACACTACATACTGATATAGACCTGAACATCAGCAGGAGAGGACTCTTTAAAGTAGAGACACTACATACTGATATACACCTGAACATCAGCAGGAGAGGACTCTTTAAAGTAGAGACACTACATACTGATATACACCTGAACATCAGCAGGAGAGGACTCTTTAAAGTAGAGACACTACGTACTGATATACACCTGAACATCAGCAGGAGAGGACTCTTTAAAGTAGAGACACTACATACTGATATACACCTGAACATCAGCAGGAGAGGACTCTTTAAAGTACAGACACTACATACTGATATACACCTGGACATCAGCAGGAGAGGACTCTTTAAAGTAGAGACACTACATACTGATATAGACCTGAACATCAGCAGGAGAGGACTCTTTAAAGTAGAGACACTACATACTGATATACACCTGAACATCAGCAGGAGAGGACTCTTTAAAGTAGATACACTACATACTGATATACACCTGAACATCAGCAGGAGAGGACTCTTTAAAGTAGAGACACTACGTACTGATATACACCTGAACATCAGCAGGAGAGGACTCTTTAAAGTAGAGACACTACGTACTGATATACACCTGAACATCAGCAGGAGAGGACTCTTTAAAGGATGTTTCTTTGAGGATAATAGTTGATGAACTCATGACACAAAAGATGACCCCAGAAAAGTCAATAAGTTAATTACCTGTCACCATGACGAATGATTACTTAGCCTTTTAACTCTGAGTCAAAGGTTGATTTCGTATCTGTTCTTTACGCTCATTCTGTAAATGGTTGATGGGAAAATAAAACCATAACCAGTAGGAACTATTGATGTGAAAGGTTAAACTGTATGTAGGGAATCAGAAGATAATACTGTACTGTTTCTTCAGCTTACAGAGGAACTGGTCATGCCTTCTTAATTCTGATCAACAATTAACATTTAAAAAATAGTTTTTAACATTTGATGTGATGTGTTTGTCTACGGTACTTCTTAACAGATGTGATGAGCTTGTATAATGAATATGAATATATATTAATTACTTAATTACAGTAGTCCTCTGGTGTTATTGTGAGTAAAGAGGAGACATTAACCGTTAATATGAATCTGTTTTCTGTAGATATCTGGTGTTATTATAACTGTTACGTTTCTTTATTTTCTCCAGGCACATATTCCACCATCTATAACAGACCCAAGTTGATTCAGGAACCACAAAGGGTGAGAAAAACATATTTTGTGTCATTTTTACCTCCTTTTTATGTTATATATATATATATGTGTAGAATCACATTTCGATAGTGTAAACAATGCAGTAGAAGGCAGAGTAAAGACGTTGTGTGTAAACTCTTGCACAAATATAGTGGCTTGAGTAATTATTGTGCACTTAACACTAAATCAGGAATATTGTCCTATCTGCACGTTTTGCTTATTTTACCTGATTTATTTTTATTGAACTGTTCAGAGGTTTCTAGGTCTCTCTGTGTCTTATTGTCAGTCTGGTTGAACTATGGTGCAGCACTCTTTTTGTTCTCCATGGGAAAAACACTTATATACAAAATAATATATATTTCTAAAGAAGACTTTTTACTATTTGAAAAAAAAATTAACAAAATCTTACTGGATCCAATCAAGCTTTTAAACATCGATCTGATATGAAAACATGTGCAGTGTTTTAAGGTGGAATGAATCGGACGTGTTGACAAAATGTTCTACAAATATTTACAGTATAAAGAAAAAAGTGCAAGAAAATAATCCCTCAGAGATTAAACGTGTAGGAACCAAAATGCTTCTTTAGCCATTGTTTGTTGTTATCTTTATTTGTCCGCACCACGTTTAATTGTAATTATCACGTCTGACAATTGTCACATGGGTGTTGTTTATTGTTATTTAGGTCACCTGTTGCACCAAAACAAAGAGGGTGAATTGCTGTGACCTTTTTTGTATTTGTTAATTGTTTGTTTTCTTAATTAAAGATAATTGAACTCTGACTTCAGTAAAGACTGTTCCATCAGCACAGCGATGAGCAAAGTCTAGCCTCTCGAGGCACGACTCATTAGGAGTTTTACGATATGATAACACTTTATTGGTCCGATCAAGTCTGAAATGTGACTTGCATTTAACATGACAGCACAATCAGTGAGAGAAAACCTGCTCAAGAGCCTTCAGCGTGCATTTGATCTGGGATTTAACTCTGTCGACACAAAACGTTTATTCTTTTCTTCCTCGTGTCCTCAGACGAAGCCGATCCGAGTGTCCCAGAAGACGGGCATCCCTCTGGACGTCCTTCCTACCAAAGGCCTGACCGCTAAGCAGGCGGAGCGCATGATGAGGATCAACGACTCGGACCTGCCTCGAGTTTCCACCCAGCAGCGCAGCAAGGAGGAGAGCACAGAGGAGAGGAAGCAGAGGAAACTCGCCATCAAGGAAGAACGCAAGGTGAGAGTGAGAGAGTGAGTGAGAGAGTGAGAGTGAGAGAGAGAGAGAGAGAGAGAGAGAGTAGTAGGAGTAAGAGAGAGTAAGAGAGACGTGATGATAGATTAGAGGCGAGAGGGCTGCCTCTGCGCTATCTCGCATCTCATCTCTCGTCTCTCGATCGCTCTCTCTATCTCTCTGCTCTTCCTCTATAGTCTCATCGCTCTCTCTCTCTCTCTCTTCTCTCTTCTCTCTCTCTCTCTCGCTCTCTCTCTCTCTCCTCTCTCTCTCCTCTCCTCTCTCTCTCTCTCTCTCCTCTCTCTCTCTCTCTCTCTCTCCTCTCTCTCTCTCTCTCTCTCTCTACTCTCTCTCTCTCTCTCTCTCTCTCTCTCTCTCTCTCTCTCCTCCTCCTCGCGCTCTCTCTCGACTGCTCTCTCTCGCTCGTCTTCCATCCTCTTATACGAGGAGATTATAAGTGTGTTCAAGCTCGTTGGAAAAAGGGAATCAACTCAAAACTCAAAGTTCAGGGCGTATAATTGCACTGACACAAAATACACTGAACAAAAATATAAACGCAACACTTTTGTTTTTGCTCCCATTTTTCATGAGATGAACTCAAAGATCTAAAACATTTTCTATAAACACAAAATAACCATTTCTCTCAAATATTGTTCACAAATCTGAAACAATCTGTGATAGTGAGCACTTCTCCTTTGCCGAGATAATCCATCCCACCTCACAGGTGTGGCTTATCAAGATGCTGATTAGACAGCATGATTATTGCACAGGTGTGCCTTAGGCTGGCCACAATAAAAGGCCACTCTGAAACGTGCAGTTTTGCTTTATTGGGGGAGTCTGGGGGGGGTCCGAAAACCAGGCAGTATCTAGTCTGAGGGGTAGGGGTAGGGTTAGGGTTATGTTGTGAATCGAGTGGCCCATGGTGGTGGTGGAGTTATTGTATGGGCAGGCGTATGTTATGGACGACGAACACAGGCCACTCGATTCACAACATTACCCTAATTTGTGAACAATATTTGAGAGAAATGGTTATTTTGTATTTATAGAACATGTTTTAGATCTTTGAGTTCATCTCATGAAAAATGGGAGCAAAAACAAAAGTGTTGCGTTTATATTTTTGTTCAGTGTGTGTATATATATATACATTTTTTTTTATACACATTCAAACATATTTATTTGTACTTAACCCGATATATTCCTGCACTTGAACTTTATCGGCATATTGAAGTATGAATGCTTGTATGTTGTCTTCTCCTGAATGTTGTACGTCTCTTGTTTGTTTTTTGTATTTTTGATGGCACCTTACAAAAAAAGAAGCAGTAGCTCTACTCATCTCATTGTATAATGACAATAAAGGATTCTATTCTATAAGCAGCATCTCTCTAATAAACAAGTTCTTCTGGTGGGTAAAATAACAAAAGTACATTCAAAACGCACTCACCAGAATGTATAAATAGCAAACAGAACTTTAAACAGGCCTAGTTTTCAGGCAGCAACATTCACTTAACAAAGGTCACTTAACAAAGGTCACTTAACAAATTAGCAATTTAGCCTCAGAGGTAACAATCTGCTCAAAGTAGTGAAATCACTTCGAGTACTTCAGTTTCCTTCTCAGCGCTCACAGCAGGTGTCACTGAACAAGCTGCAAGAAAATATAAAAACCAAAAATGAATTGTTCATATCGAAGACAGATCAATCCTCCATCTCATACCATAGACCTCCATTGTTTTTAGAAACCTGTAATCTGCTAAACATGTAGTTTAATTACTATTTCCCAGAATACCTCTCATATAAATACACTTTCCTTAGTAGTTTGTCTTGTAAACAATAGCGGTAAGAGCGTTGAGAACACGTCGTTTGGTCAAGCAACTTGTTTTAAATCACACATGGTGACACGTTATCAAATCCAACACATAGACTCAAACAACAAAGCTCCTGATGTATCGTCCTCCTCTGTGCCATGGAGCTCCAATCTTGTCCAAAATATTATTTAAAACCCCCCTCAGTGAGCAACACTGTTGTACAGCTGATCATTTCCTTCATCACCACGTCTCACACACCGTCCTGCTGCCACAAATACTCACTAGAGCACCAAATATGGATCAATCCGCCGCTGAAAGTAGATCCCAACTAATGCACTATTTCCTCCTGCTTGATTGATAAAAACTAAAGAAAGTAGGTGTTTTTAGAAAATGACTGAGATTATTATGTGTTGGTTTTCTTTGTTTATGGCATATGTCTGCAATTAATCAAATAAAACAAAGCAGTAGTCAGCTGAATAAAATGAATTATATAATTGATTTGATTGATTTTGCTCTTATCTTGAACGACCTGGATTCAAATATTTACCACAAATAAGGGCATCACTTCGTCTTTTTAATTACCTTTATATGATAAGAAATGACATGGAGAACAATTGATTGATTGATTCATTTTATTTCGAACAAGTAAAATAAATAATTACAAAACAAAAATATTTTTGCATTTCATAGTCATGTAAGATAAATCAAAACAAAAAAATTACATTTACAACAACAACAACAGCATTAGCAACATAAACAGTCCCACATCTAGTGTTCGAAAAGGAGTGAGAAGAAGTATCATTTATTTAATCTCACCCCCATTGTCCCTAAATGATTTATTTATAATCTATAATCTGCAATAATTATCCTTATTATTTTTATTATTAATCTGCTTTACCTGTTGATTGACATATACACCAGTGGCGAACCGTGTCTATCACAACGGGACCTTCTGTAGACACACACACCCCCCACCGTCGCCGCAACGTAACACTGCAATATTACAGATCAACAACACGGATACGATTCTCATTTATTCATTTTATATACATTTTATTACATTTTATTTATATAATTAAATCGATTTTTTGTTTGTTTTATCTGAGTGTTCTCGGAATACCTTGAAGGCCCTGACGGTTCGCCACTGATATACACATATGTACATACACACATATATGAGAGGCCGTCGAGCTCACAACTCATTCTTGGTCTTACAAACAATGTCAGAATCTCACACATACACCATTTAACTCTTTTATACATATAGCTAAACACTTTTACACGCACAGTCATACTCTCTTTCACACACTGTTGTCTGGGCAATACATCAAACTTACTTAAATACCAAACGGTACTTTCTTAGAAACACTATTATTCCCACTTACAGACAACATCATACTACAATATAATACTCTAGTAGTGTATGCAAGATAGAAAACTTTGTGAGAGAGAATGATAGTGTATGTGAGATACATTTTAGTGTGTGTGTGTGTGTGATGGTGTATGTGAGATACATTTTAGTATGTATGAGGGTATAGTAGTGTGTGTGTGAGAGAATTATAGTGTGTGTGAGATACATTTTAGTGTGTGTGTGTGTGATGGTGTATGTGAGAGACATTTTAGTATGTATGAGGGTATAATAGTGTGTGTGAGAGAATGATAGTGTATGTGAGATACATTTTAGTATGTATGAGGGTATAGTAGTGTGTGTGAGAGAGAATGCTTGTGTTGTTGAGAGCTTATGACAGTTTATGTGAGAGGACATTGTACTGGTTGTGAGAGAGTATACTTTAAAAGGAAGTCAGGTTGATCCAACAGGAAGCCAGTTTAAATGTTCATTCCTTGACTGGTTTACAGCCTCGAAAACAAAGCCTGAAGCTGATCAGAGCACTGCTAGCTACATTTGAGCTGCAATAAGAACTTTTGTTAACACTTTATATTAAGGTACACAAATTAACCATCAACTAGTTGTTAATCAACATGCTTATTAGCAGTATATTGGCTCTTTATTAGTCATTATAAAACACTTATTAATGCCTTATTCTACATGACCATATTCTACAAGTAATAGGCCATTAGTTGAGTTTTTCCTCAATAACCCTCTAATTGGTGCTTATTCATTGCAAGTAAGGAAGTTGTTTGGTCTTAATATGCTCAATATGGGCCTAATAAGGCAGTAGTACCACAAGAATAGTAATTCTCCCACAATAAATATGATCTATCCTTATGTAACAAGACATGAAACTATAAGTGTTAATTAAGTCTAAATAACTCAAAATTAGGTATTTCTATCGAAGAATATGTTCCCTATTTTAAAGGGAAGTCTTGTTCGTAACCAATAAGCTAGTAGTTTGACTCTGATTGACCTGAACAGGTTCCCTATTCTAAAGTTGCCTCCTCTTCACACTTTGTAAATACATTATAGCACGCAACTACTGAAATTAACCTCAACAGTACATGAACAAAGTAGGCTCACGTTGAAATATCTGTTTTATTAATGAACCCCTAAAGAGAGGTTCAGACACATGTACCAAAACATGTCAAGTTTCTCCTAGGCTGAGAACACACATGCAGCCTGTATACTTTTTTAATAAAAACAGATTTTTAACATTGTTTATGTATTTGTGATCATACTGTGTGACCTGCTTGTATGTACTTACACCATAGGTGTACTGTTCTCTCTGTGTTGTACTGTCTCAGTGTGAACATAGATTTAACAGCCAGCCAAACTCTTTTGAGAGCCAGGGAATGAGCAGCCATGCTCCTTTATTGAATTATTTGCAGTCCACTGACATTCAAACGGAGTGAAACTATAAAAAAGAAGAAGATACAAGGCACTTAATGATCTCATACATGCAAGTGTAACATACACAGATTAACACTCGGCACCGCTAAGTGTAAACAAGGTAAATATAGCTAATGCTAGCTGTAGCATATCCCTCCGAAATATGGTCGTAGACTTTACTGATGATTTAGAATTTATTGAAACTCCAGAGTCAACGTAAGAGTTATAAAGACACATAAATAACAAATACGTTTAGGCACAATCCGTATTAGAATCACTTTAGCATACTACCAAAAGTTAACTGTAAACAGACAGCAAAGCTACAAAACAGCTTATAAACGAATTAGGACAACCTAGTAAATACCAACCTTGTGCCTCTTCGGGGGGTGCTAGCATTTAAACATACACTTTATTCTTTA